TTGGGAGGTACCGTTATATGGAGGCTATACCAAAACGTGGACCTGCACAGACAATTTTCTGTCTTAGGCTGTGGTATCCATTACGAACTTCAAATACCAAATTTGAAACAATTCCGGGGAATAATGTCGCTAAAATCATCAAAATACCGAATATCGGAAGGTACCGTTATATGGGGGCTATGCGAAGACGTGGACCTGAACAGACAATTTTCTGTCTTACGCTGTGGTATCCATTGCGAACTTCAAATACCAGTGAATAATGTCGCTAAAATCATCAAAATACCGAATATCGGGAGATATACGAAGACGTGGACCTGCACATACAATTTTCTGTCTTAGGCTGTAGTATCCATTGCGAACTTCAAATACCAAATTTGAAACAATTCCAGTGAATAATGTCGCTAAAATCATCAAAATACCGAATATCGGGAGGTATTGTTATTTGGGGGCTATACGAAGACGTGGACCTGCACATACAATTTTCTGTCTGAGGCTGTAGTATTCATTACGAACTTCAAATAACAAATTTGAAACAATTCCGGGGAATAATGTCGCCAAAATCATCAAAATACCGAATATCGTTAGGTACCCTTATGTGGGGGCTATACGAAGATGTGGACCTGCACAGACAATCTCCTGTCATAGGCTGTAGCATCCATTACGAACTTCAAATACCAAATTTGAAACAATTCCGGTGAATAATGTTTCTAAAAGCATAAAAATACCGAATATCTCGAGGTACCGTTATATGGCGGCTATGCGAAGGCGTGGACCTGCACAGACAATTTTCTGTCTTAGGCTGTGGTATCCATTATGAACTTCAAATACCAAATTTGAAATAATTCTGGGGAATAATGTCGCTAAAATCATCAAAATATCGAATATCGGGAGGTACCATTATATGGGGGCTATACGAAGACGTGGACCTGTCTTAGGCTTTAGTATCCATTTCGAACTTCAAATGCGACATTTGAAACAATTCCGGTCAATAATGTCGTTAAAATCATCAAAATACCGAATATCGGGACCTATATGGCCCATTTTCAATACCAAAAGTCCAGAAGACATAATATACACTTGAGTAAAATTTTATCAATCTATTTTATTTCGTTCGGAAGCTAGAGGGATTTCCACAGACGGTGTTACAAACGGAATGACAAACTTAATATACCATCCATACTATGGTGGAGAGTATAACAAATGGTAATTTCCCCAACAGGGAACAAATAAGTGAACCCCACCCTTCGTACGCCACTTTCCTTTTATAAGCAAAATATGTATCAGGGGTAATGGACACACATTTAGAAACATTTGTGGAGAACGGTAAAAGGTCCAGAATTTCAGTGCCCATTTGGTGTGCCAACCCTACAATCTTTCCTCATTTTAATGCTGAAATATAAAACGTAAATAGGAAACTAATTAAATTTATGTTATATCTATAGCTTCTTAAGCACATAAAATGCTAACAACTCACTCGCAAACTGACACGTGACAGAAATAGAGAAGTACATAGCTACATCAAATCTCTGAGCAATTTATAAAATTCACAGAATATTCCAAATGTAATTGTATACAAATTTTCCTTTCTCTTTTTTTTTTGTAAACATTGCCAATCGATTTCGAATTCACTTTAATTTATTGTTTATTTAAACAATCTTTTTTGGTTTGGCCACAGTGTAGGTCATTTAATAGAGAGCATATAGAATATTTCAAATCTAGCGCGCCAGCCAATTGAAGATCAGTAACCGATTGTTTATGCTATGAAATAGAGCAGCACAGTAGCCAGCAAAAAGTCAATGGCAGCGAAAATAGAACACGCTATTCTGTATTATGGGAATTAATTAACACCTTCTGCCTAATTTCCATGTGTCCCACATACAGCTGCATAGATGAAATATCCGCATAGTTCTGTGGTCCAGTGTAAAACCAAAAAAAATGAAGGTTAAAATAAACAAAACACAAAATACGTGAAAGTTCCCTTTCTCTCTGCTTCTCTTTGATTATTTTTCTCTCTTTTGTTGATTATAAATGGGCATGTTTCCCTAAACAAAATCAAACCTTAAAATAAAAACAAGAAACCTAACATATGCGGCGGGATTTTATGGCTTGCCCGGTTTTCTCATGGATGTGTGAGTGTGTCGGCGTTTCGGCTCGTATGATTTTCAAGTATTTTATACCGACAGACAGACAGACAAAAAACAAGAATTACAAGAACAATACTGTTGACTAAACCCCCAAAAATAAACAACAACGGCAACAAGCAAGGCTCTAAACTAGCCCCAACAAAAAAAAACCAGACAAACAAAAGACAAGTCCAGAAGAGCGTATTGCCATTCAAAGCAAAAAACCAAACTTAAATCATTTCAAATTTGTGGAAATTAAGTTCAATAAACTTTCAATTTATGGCGGGGGGAATCAGTAAAATGATCAATCGATATAAATTGGATAAAAAATTAAGCAAAATGTCTCAATAGAAAAAGGGAATCAGATATAAAGTCAGGAATAAATAGATTTCATTCAGATTATTAAACAGCTTTTTATAGCCTCCACCATAAAATGGGAAGTACATTTTTGATTTTTTCACTGGAAAAGCGGCTTTCACTGGTCTTATTCCTTGTTCGAAACACCCCATGCATATTTACGATCAGCGCAAAACTCTATGTCGATTTACCCATGTCTGTCTGTAGATGTATAAAGTTTGCATTATCATCAAAAGAGCTTCAAAATTTTGCACAGGTATTATCCTTAGAATAGTTTATATTAAAAATATCGGTTTCGTTTAGATTTTGCTCTCTGGGTAAATCTGTCTTCACAAAAAATTCAGTCTAGGTCCATTTTCCGGCATAGCCCCATATTACGGTACCTCATAACTAAACCAGTAGTACATTGATATTTTAGCCTCTTTTTTTTCTAAAAATATTTAATTGTCACTCATAATTCAAAATGTTTTCATGAAGGGTTCGTCGTTTCTTTTTGAAATAAATATCAGCTAAGACTCAGGGAATCAAAGCTTAACAGTTATACCGTTTTATAAAGTTGGTTGTATCAGGTGACCCAAGTCTGGGATTTTGAAGGCAGTCATTGTGGCAATTTCTTAGGTTACGGGTATAAAAATGTTGTCTTTCCTAACTTTAGATCGCTTTGGAAAGACCATGGCTTTATGAGATTTCAATGCCCAGCGCAATTTATGATATTCCGCTGTTGGTAATAATCAGAGGTAATCAACGCTGGAGAAGCAAATACGGGGTGAGATGAAAAAGCTGCAACGAACTTTAGACTGCTGCCATTTATACTCGTAGCGTAGCCCGACGTCAAGGAAGTGGACGGAAAAAACAGCAACATCAGCAGAAATGGTTGGAAAAGTAAAGAAGCGACTTGATCAAAACCTGCGTCGCAGTGGCCGAAAAATGGTTCGTGAGCTGTACATATCGCAATATTTCATTCGGCAAAATTTGAAAAATGAGCTCTGGGTAAAACCATTGAAATTCCAAAAAGTGCAAGTGAAAATGTGCACCTTCGGTTGGCCACCTGAACTCAAGCGTCGGCCATGGTGATGGTGTGGGCCGCCATAGCAGCCGATGATAGCTCTCCGCTCGTGTTAATCGACCGTGGCATCAGAATAAATGCCGAATATTGTCGCGAAAATATTCTGGAGGGTGTATTAAAGCCTTGGGCACGCAAACAGCACAAACGCACTCAGAACGTGTCACCCAAGAATAGTTACAAAATGAGGTTCCTCGCTTAATTTCCAGCGCACAACGGCCACCAAAATCTCCGTTGGACTATTGTGCCTGGAGTATTTTGGAAAGCAAGGTTGGCTTTAAAAAATACCAAAGTGTCGATCAAAAGACCGCAGAGCAACATTCGGTGTGTATGACGGTTCATTGGCCGTTTGAAGGCCATAATTCGTTCCAAAGGCGAACAATTCAATCAAATCTAAACTTATTCCAAAATTTTGATGCTAATTCCGACATATTTTGGTTTCATTCAATAAAATTTCAAAAATAAAAAAAATGAATAAAAATTATACCCTCTACACTCTGTATGGTGGAGGGTATACAAATATTAGAGATATCCTCTAGATCAACAAGTACAGCTAGGAGGTCTAAGTAGTATTTATAGTCTATTCTCAATACATTAAGGCAGAATAAAGACAGATGACCGGAAAAACCGGAAAAATATCAAATTTAAGCGATTTTTTTTAGAAAATATCGTTACAATCATCAAAATACAGAATATAAGGAGGCATCGTTTTTTGAGCTAAAGAAGAAAATAGTGGATATTAGGAAGGCTAAATACAAAAATTTCAACAATACCAATCAGCAAAATACCGAGTATCGGGAGGTACCTTCTAAGATGCCTATATCCAAATAAAAATTACAGATATAACTCGGGAATGAACTAAATTTGAGCCATATAGATTAGAGTAATGACCAAGTTGTTTTAGAATTTTACGCTGATAGAAAATACATAATTTGATTATTTCGATAAGGTTAATATACCATCCATACATGATAAAAGACAGGTGTTTTCGAATATATAATACCCTACACCATTATGTATGTTTAGAAGAGCTACCCGTAACAATTGTATGAAAAGTTTTCCAACGGGATAAAAGATATTTTAATGAATCACATACATATTTTTTAATACTGGTTTAATGTCAGAGCTTATCAATTTCGGCAAACGACTTTCTAATCACTTCACATTGTAAGTCATCACAATTACTTTGAAAACGATGACTGAAATTTTCGGAAACATTTTTAAAACTGGATTTTCAAATTTTAATCATTTGCGTGAAATAATTATGGTTTAATAACCATTAAATAATTAGACCTGAAGGGTAAATTTTAATTTTAAAATCTCGAAAGGGTAAATTTCCACCTTTTCTACTACCGAGATAAAATATAATACAAATCATCGTCCGCTTGCTACCAATATTTGAAAATTGTAGAATTTCTAGTTTAAAAACTCTCTATTTGTATGGATTTCCAACTCACCTTTGGTACATAGCAGTACAAAAATTTCAAATCCTTATCCACAATCATGTGCTCCATTTGTTCCTCGGTTAAATCATTGATATCCTGTTGGCTATAACCCAACGAATCACATTGTTTTTGTAAATATTCCTGGCGCTGCAAATTAATGGTTTGGGTCAATTCCAAACTACGTTTGGCAATTTTCACCTTGCTATTATTGACATCCTCAAATGCCCCGCGAATCAGATCAATTTGGAGAGTGAAAAGAAATGCAATTACAACGAGTGAGACCAAAAGTGATTGACGATTAAAGAATTTCCGGCGCTTAATGGGAACTGATGTCTCGGCTATGGAGAAATTTGATATCAAATTATCCTCATCTGCACAAGTCAAATGTTGATTCGAAGAATCTCCATTCGTATTGGTTGTAGTCATCATCTTGGTTTCACACAGAACGGAATGCTGTTGTAGCAACAACTATTGGAGGAGATCTGGTTGTATTTGCTGCGGGTAGATGGCGACGCCGATGATGATGATGTTGGTGGTGGTGTCGTACAATGAAGCAGGACTTGATGCTTTGAAAGTGAATATTTTCTTTTTTTAACTCTGGTCTTGATTGCAATTAATTGGCACATGGAATGTTTCTTGGACTTTGATGGTTGTGGTTGGATTCCTTTTAAAATCATTTGGTAAATTATAATAGCTTTTTAATTCGAATGCTTTATTTTTTATTTCTCTTTTTGCGATAATTTCAATATCAACACTTAATTATTTTTCTTCAAACACTTGCTGCTGACCCAATAACCATATGGTGGTGGTCAGCCTGCTTTTTTTATTGCCTCTTTTTGCCCAAATACTTTTCACGTTTGGTAAACCTTAGAGTCTGTGCATTCTCGATGCCACACTCACTTAACAACTTGCGACCGTTTTCGTCATTTATCAATGTTTTGTTGGCGGGATCGAATAAAGCGTATGCTCGCCATAGGTAACGCCAGCTAACGCACGGCCTATGTTGATGACCGTTGTGTGCCGCAGAACAAACTAATTCGCCAGTCAAGCGAATGGACGGTTTGGACTTCAGCTCTGCCATTGTTTCTCGAGTTGTTTTTCTTGTAACGTTGTCTTGCTCTTGACATTTCTCTTTGTTGTTATCGCTGCTCTCAGTGTGGGCTGGTGTGTAGTTGTTGTCGTCTTTTCCCCACAATTGAGACCCACCGGGGTATGGAGAGGAGGTGCTGTTGCTCCCGGTTGCGTGTTGGAGCACATTTTGTGTTCTTCTTCGTATGCGCTCTTCATGTCGCTCTCTTAACTCTCTTTTTAGTTGAATGTTTGCTTGTGCAGCAATAGCTTTCTTTAACTGTGCAATAGTCGGTTGATCTTGTGGCAACTGTAATGATATTAAATTTCAATAAAGCTATGATTAAAAATATAGCACTGGAAAAGGTTGGGATATATTAGCGGATTTTATAATCGTTTTGGATTGTAAAACGTTGACGTTTTATGGGGGAGGTACGAGAAGGAGTGGTCCGATATCTACCATTTTTATAACAGATCTTGTGTTAATAGAAATATTGAGGTGTTCGAGGCCTGAAGGGAATCGTATAATAATTTCGCGATGTATGAGCTTCATGGATATTTAAAATTTTGACCATTTGTGGGGGAGATACCAGAAGGAGTGGATTGACATATTCCATATTTACACCAGACCTTGAATTAATAAAAATATTGTGATGTGTATAATTTGGAGACAATCGGAGTTATACTACCCATTTTTTAAGAGTTATAATTGTTCAAAATTGTGACCTTTTGTGGGAGAGGTTCTTGATGGAGTGGACCGATATTGTCCATTTTCTCACATAACCTAGCACTAATACAAACAGTAGGATTTGCAAAGTTGGAGCAAAATCGGATTATCCTTTCTCTTTCCGTGCAGTAAAACGTTTTTTTATTGTTTTTTGAAAACTTCGACCTTTTGTGGGGGTTGTACAAAAAGGAGTGGACCGATATTGCCTATCTACGAACCCGATCTGAGTTTGATAATAATATTACGATGTACCAAGTTTGGACCAAATCGAATATTCCTTTGGAGAGTTGCCGTGCGCATCAGCCACCCATACAGACAAACAGATGGACGGATCTAGATCGACTTCAAATGTCCTGAAACGGATTTGGACCAAAGAGACCTAGGGTCTAAAACAGTTATTTCGAAAGGGTACGTTTTGGCCGTATCAAATGATATTAACCCTCTCTAGCCATAGGGCTGAGGGTATAAAATGTATTGAAAGCATGAACTAAGCACTGATTATTGGATTCATCCATGTGTAGAAGACTTTTCGAAGTAATATAGTTTCAAAACAATTCTAATTTTTTAAAAAAAAAAAAACTTATTTTGGTAAAATTAAAATGTTTAAACTTGGTGCACATTTTCAGCTGACCTCTTTGGCAAGTAAAAACGATCATTTTGTTTGTTTACAAACTGCGGGACAACGAATGTTTTCTTATCGGAGAAAACCAAATTCGCCAGTTCACCACTTTCGGCCAAGAGAAGCAACTCATTAGCTCTGTTGAGTCTATTTTCTTTACGTGCGGTGTAAGTTCTTGCACTTTTTGGAATTTTAGTGGCTTTACCCCGAGCTCATTTTTCAATATTTGCCGAATGGAATAATGCGATATGTTCAGCTAACGAGCCATTTTTCGGCCACTGCGACGCAGGTTTCGATCAAGTCGCTTCTTTACTTTTCGAACCATTTCTGCTGAGGTTGCTGTTTTCTTCCGTCCACTTCCTTGACGTCAGGCTACGCTACCAGCATTACAGTAACAAGCGATGGTACGAGACACAAAAAATTTATTCACATTTAAATGCTGGAGTGCTCTAACGAAGTTGTCACTTTCACCGTTAAGCCAGTTTTGTTTATTTTTATGTGCGCCAAATTTGATAGAGCTCTATCACAATTAAAGGTAGAGCTTTGAAATTGTATATAGGCATTGTTATTAATCCTACCTATCAGTACCTCCATATTTTTACGTCAAAATTTTCGTTTTCAAACCCCCGCAAAAATTGTACCTCCTGATTATCGATAGTTTTTAAAATTTTTGGCTCCGATTTGTAACCACATCTTAAATTACGGGCTCTCCGTGGTGATTTTTTGTCCTTCTTTTAAAAATTTTTTTTCTAGGTCTACGTTTTGGTATAGCTCCCATATTACGATACGATTTAATTTATTTCAAAGTATTCGGCTCCAACTTAGAACCAAATCAGCTGTAATTTGATACTTTGAGATCTTTCTAGGTGGATTAACTGCTATCTAAAAATATGTAATGTAGATATATCCCTCATTTTCATGGAACATCCAAATGTTAGGGATTTTAAGGATAGCGGATTTTGTAATTTTGGTTAAGAGTTTTCACATGGTGTAGGGTATAAAAATTTCGACCCGAACTAAACGTTTTTTATATTTTTATTTTTAATTTATTGTTTTATTCTATCGCAGTTTTTCACCACAAAACATGGTAAAGGTCACCAGATAATCATAATGCAATTCACAACTGACAAGGTTTACAAGACACAATAATAACAATTTTCACAACATATCAGATGGTATAAAAATAGTTGTTCAGAGATGGTTATAGTTTTATTATTTATTTTTTTGTAGAATTTTTGCAAAAAAAAAATTAAATATATCTTTTTACACTGAAGCAAAAAACTTCAATTCACGAATTTGCTTAAAATTTGGTATTCGATAAATCATACCACCTTAATTAAACTGATATGGTTTATTTATTTTTATTTTATGTCCTTATTTTAAGAACTCGAATATTTTTTTAATTTCCCTAGAACAATACACAATACAATATTTTTTACCATCCCTGTCTGTTTCTATAGTTATTTCATTAGTTTTCACATTAAACCAACAACAAACATACATAATTAAGACGCATTTTCTTGATAGTGCCAATTAATGAACTTTTTGATCTTTAGTCAGTGTAATTATATACAACATGCAGCAGATTATAATTATTTTGCACAACAACAACAACTACAAAATAAAAACAAACTACAACAATAAGTTATTGCATGATGAGATTATATTTCCATTTGCATAAGTCAGGTATCGAGTTATTTAAAAAAGAAAATAGTCAGACAGTATTGAATTCGATTCTTTTGAAATCGGAAACCATGTATGGATGACATAAACTAAATGCCGCAATAATAGAATGAGAATGCAATATCAGAAAAGGTGTGTTCTTCAAAGATACTACAATGTCTCAATTTATTTCAAAATGTAACATAATAGCGAAAAATTTACAATTAAAAAAGCTGTAATTTCGGCCGGGCTGAACTTTGAATACCCTCCACGATTTGAACGAATATGGCAACTCTCGAAAACAATAAAATCCGTTAAAAATTCTGTTAAAATCTTAAAAACATCAAATGTAGCTGTTATATTTGGGTCTATACGACAACATGGAACTACACAGGTAACTTTTGTCATAAGCCATTGCAATATTCAAATGCGAAAAAAATAGTGAATAATATTGCTAAAATCATCAAAATACCTAATATTGGGAGGTACCGTTATATGGAGGCTATACCAAAACGTGGACCTGCACAGACAATTTTCTGTCTTAGGCTGTGGTATCCATTACGAACTTCAAATACCAAATTTGAAACAATTCCGGGGAATAATGTCGCTAAAATCATCAAAATACCGAATATCGGAAGGTACCGTTATATGGGGGCTATGCGAAGACGTGGACCTGAACAGACAATTTTCTGTCTTACGCTGTGGTATCCATTGCGAACTTCAAATACCAGTGAATAATGTCGCTAAAATCATCAAAATACCGAATATCGGGAGATATACGAAGACGTGGACCTGCACATACAATTTTCTGTCTTAGGCTGTAGTATCCATTGCGAACTTCAAATACCAAATTTGAAACAATTCCAGTGAATAATGTCGCTAAAATCATCAAAATACCGAATATCGGGAGGTATTGTTATTTGGGGGCTATACGAAGACGTGGACCTGCACATACAATTTTCTGTCTGAGGCTGTAGTATTCATTACGAACTTCAAATAACAAATTTGAAACAATTCCGGGGAATAATGTCGCCAAAATCATCAAAATACCGAATATCGTTAGGTACCCTTATGTGGGGGCTATACGAAGATGTGGACCTGCACAGACAATCTCCTGTCATAGGCTGTAGCATCCATTACGAACTTCAAATACCAAATTTGAAACAATTCCGGTGAATAATGTTTCTAAAAGCATAAAAATACCGAATATCTCGAGGTACCGTTATATGGCGGCTATGCGAAGGCGTGGACCTGCACAGACAATTTTCTGTCTTAGGCTGTGGTATCCATTATGAACTTCAAATACCAAATTTGAAATAATTCTGGGGAATAATGTCGCTAAAATCATCAAAATATCGAATATCGGGAGGTACCATTATATGGGGGCTATACGAAGACGTGGACCTGTCTTAGGCTTTAGTATCCATTTCGAACTTCAAATGCGACATTTGAAACAATTCCGGTCAATAATGTCGTTAAAATCATCAAAATACCGAATATCGGGACCTATATGGCCCATTTTCAATACCAAAAGTCCAGAAGACATAATATACACTTGAGTAAAATTTTATCAATCTATTTTATTTCGTTCGGAAGCTAGAGGGATTTCCACAGACGGTGTTACAAACGGAATGACAAACTTAATATACCATCCATACTATGGTGGAGAGTATAACAAATGGTAATTTCCCCAACAGGGAACAAATAAGTGAACCCCACCCTTCGTACGCCACTTTCCTTTTATAAGCAAAATATGTATCAGGGGTAATGGACACACATTTAGAAACATTTGTGGAGAACGGTAAAAGGTCCAGAATTTCAGTGCCCATTTGGTGTGCCAACCCTACAATCTTTCCTCATTTTAATGCTGAAATATAAAACGTAAATAGGAAACTAATTAAATTTATGTTATATCTATAGCTTCTTAAGCACATAAAATGCTAACAACTCACTCGCAAACTGACACGTGACAGAAATAGAGAAGTACATAGCTACATCAAATCTCTGAGCAATTTATAAAATTCACAGAATATTCCAAATGTAATTGTATACAAATTTTCCTTTCTCTTTTTTTTTTGTAAACATTGCCAATCGATTTCGAATTCACTTTAATTTATTGTTTATTTAAACAATCTTTTTTGGTTTGGCCACAGTGTAGGTCATTTAATAGAGAGCATATAGAATATTTCAAATCTAGCGCGCCAGCCAATTGAAGATCAGTAACCGATTGTTTATGCTATGAAATAGAGCAGCACAGTAGCCAGCAAAAAGTCAATGGCAGCGAAAATAGAACACGCTATTCTGTATTATGGGAATTAATTAACACCTTCTGCCTAATTTCCATGTGTCCCACATACAGCTGCATAGATGAAATATCCGCATAGTTCTGTGGTCCAGTGTAAAACCAAAAAAAATGAAGGTTAAAATAAACAAAACACAAAATACGTGAAAGTTCCCTTTCTCTCTGCTTCTCTTTGATTATTTTTCTCTCTTTTGTTGATTATAAATGGGCATGTTTCCCTAAACAAAATCAAACCTTAAAATAAAAACAAGAAACCTAACATATGCGGCGGGATTTTATGGCTTGCCCGGTTTTCTCATGGATGTGTGAGTGTGTCGGCGTTTCGGCTCGTATGATTTTCAAGTATTTTATACCGACAGACAGACAGACAAAAAACAAGAATTACAAGAACAATACTGTTGACTAAACCCCCAAAAATAAACAACAACGGCAACAAGCAAGGCTCTAAACTAGCCCCAACAAAAAAAAACCAGACAAACAAAAGACAAGTCCAGAAGAGCGTATTGCCATTCAAAGCAAAAAACCAAACTTAAATCATTTCAAATTTGTGGAAATTAAGTTCAATAAACTTTCAATTTATGGCGGGGGGAATCAGTAAAATGATCAATCGATATAAATTGGATAAAAAATTAAGCAAAATGTCTCAATAGAAAAAGGGAATCAGATATAAAGTCAGGAATAAATAGATTTCATTCAGATTATTAAACAGCTTTTTATAGCCTCCACCATAAAATGGGAAGTACATTTTTGATTTTTTCACTGGAAAAGCGGCTTTCACTGGTCTTATTCCTTGTTCGAAACACCCCATGCATATTTACGATCAGCGCAAAACTCTATGTCGATTTACCCATGTCTGTCTGTAGATGTATAAAGTTTGCATTATCATCAAAAGAGCTTCAAAATTTTGCACAGGTATTATCCTTAGAATAGTTTATATTAAAAATATCGGTTTCGTTTAGATTTTGCTCTCTGGGTAAATCTGTCTTCACAAAAAATTCAGTCTAGGTCCATTTTCCGGCATAGCCCCATATTACGGTACCTCATAACTAAACCAGTAGTACATTGATATTTTAGCCTCTTTTTTTTCTAAAAATATTTAATTGTCACTCATAATTCAAAATGTTTTCATGAAGGGTTCGTCGTTTCTTTTTGAAATAAATATCAGCTAAGACTCAGGGAATCAAAGCTTAACAGTTATACCGTTTTATAAAGTTGGTTGTATCAGGTGACCCAAGTCTGGGATTTTGAAGGCAGTCATTGTGGCAATTTCTTAGGTTACGGGTATAAAAATGTTGTCTTTCCTAACTTTAGATCGCTTTGGAAAGACCATGGCTTTATGAGATTTCAATGCCCAGCGCAATTTATGATATTCCGCTGTTGGTAATAATCAGAGGTAATCAACGCTGGAGAAGCAAATACGGGGTGAGATGAAAAAGCTGCAACGAACTTTAGACTGCTGCCATTTATACTCGTAGCGTAGCCCGACGTCAAGGAAGTGGACGGAAAAAACAGCAACATCAGCAGAAATGGTTGGAAAAGTAAAGAAGCGACTTGATCAAAACCTGCGTCGCAGTGGCCGAAAAATGGTTCGTGAGCTGTACATATCGCAATATTTCATTCGGCAAAATTTGAAAAATGAGCTCTGGGTAAAACCATTGAAATTCCAAAAAGTGCAAGTGAAAATGTGCACCTTCGGTTGGCCACCTGAACTCAAGCGTCGGCCATGGTGATGGTGTGGGCCGCCATAGCAGCCGATGATAGCTCTCCGCTCGTGTTAATCGACCGTGGCATCAGAATAAATGCCGAATATTGTCGCGAAAATATTCTGGAGGGTGTATTAAAGCCTTGGGCACGCAAACAGCACAAACGCACTCAGAACGTGTCACCCAAGAATAGTTACAAAATGAGGTTCCTCGCTTAATTTCCAGCGCACAACGGCCACCAAAATCTCCGTTGGACTATTGTGCCTGGAGTATTTTGGAAAGCAAGGTTGGCTTTAAAAAATACCAAAGTGTCGATCAAAAGACCGCAGAGCAACATTCGGTGTGTATGACGGTTCATTGGCCGTTTGAAGGCCATAATTCGTTCCAAAGGCGAACAATTCAATCAAATCTAAACTTATTCCAAAATTTTGATGCTAATTCCGACATATTTTGGTTTCATTCAATAAAATTTCAAAAATAAAAAAATGAATAAAAATTATACCCTCTACACTCTGTATGGTGGAGGGTATACAAATATTAGAGATATCCTCTAGATCAACAAGTACAGCTAGGAGGTCTAAGTAGTATTTATAGTCTATTCTCAATACATTAAGGCAGAATAAAGACAGATGACCGGAAAAACCGGAAAAATATCAAATTTAAGCGATTTTTTTTAGAAAATATCGTTACAATCATCAAAATACAGAATATAAGGAGGCATCGTTTTTTGAGCTAAAGAAGAAAATAGTGGATATTAGGAAGGCTAAATACAAAAATTTCAACAATACCAATCAGCAAAATACCGAGTATCGGGAGGTACCTTCTAAGATGCCTATATCCAAATAAAAATTACAGATATAACTCGGGAATGAACTAAATTTGAGCCATATAGATTAGAGTAATGACCAAGTTGTTTTAGAATTTTACGCTGATAGAAAATACATAATTTGATTATTTCGATAAGGTTAATATACCATCCATACATGATAAAAGACAGGTGTTTTCGAATATATAATACCCTACACCATTATGTATGTTTAGAAGAGCTACCCGTAACAATTGTATGAAAAGTTTTCCAACGGGATAAAAGATATTTTAATGAATCACATACATATTTTTTAATACTGGTTTAATGTCAGAGCTTATCAATTTCGGCAAACGACTTTCTAATCACTTCACATTGTAAGTCATCACAATTACTTTGAAAACGATGACTGAAATTTTCGGAAACATTTTTAAAACTGGATTTTCAAATTTTAATCATTTGCGTGAAATAATTATGGTTTAATAACCATTAAATAATTAGACCTGAAGGGTAAATTTTAATTTTAAAATCTCGAAAGGGTAAATTTCCACCTTTTCTACTACCGAGATAAAATATAATACAAATCATCGTCCGCTTGCTACCAATATTTGAAAATTGTAGAATTTCTAGTTTAAAAACTCTCTATTTGTATGGATTTCCAACTCACCTTTGGTACATAGCAGTACAAAAATTTCAAATCCTTATCCACAATCATGTGCTCCATTTGTTCCTCGGTTAAATCATTGATATCCTGTTGGCTATAACCCAACGAATCACATTGTTTTTGTAAATATTCCTGGCGCTGCAAATTAATGGTTTGGGTCAATTCCAAACTACGTTTGGCAATTTTCACCTTGCTATTATTGACATCCTCAAATGCCCCGCGAATCAGATCAATTTGGAGAGTGAAAAGAAATGCAATTACAACGAGTGAGACCAAAAGTGATTGACGATTAAAGAATTTCCGGCGCTTAATGGGAACTGATGTCTCGGCTATGGAGAAATTTGATATCAAATTATCCTCATCTGCACAAGTCAAATGTTGATTCGAAGAATCTCCATTCGTATTGGTTGTAGTCATCATCTTGGTTTCACACAGAACGGAATGCTGTTGTAGCAACAACTATTGGAGGAGATCTGGTTGTATTTGCTGCGGGTAGATGGCGACGCCGATGATGATGATGTTGGTGGTGGTGTCGTACAATGAAGCAGGACTTGATGCTTTGAAAGTGAATATTTTCTTTTTTTAACTCTGGTCTTGATTGCAATTAATTGGCACATGGAATGTTTCTTGGACTTTGATGGTTGTGGTTGGATTCCTTTTAAAATCATTTGGTAAATTATAATAGCTTTTTAATTCGAATGCTTTATTTTTTATTTCTCTTTTTGCGATAATTTCAATATCAACACTTAATTATTTTTCTTCAAACACTTGCTGCTGACCCAATAACCATATGGTGGTGGTCAGCCTGCTTTTTTTATTGCCTCTTTTTGCCCAAATACTTTTCACGTTTGGTAAACCTTAGAGTCTGTGCATTCTCGATGCCACACTCACTTAACAACTTGCGACCGTTTTCGTCATTTATCAATGTTTTGTTGGCGGGATCGAATAAAGCGTATGCTCGCCATAGGTAACGCCAGCTAACGCACGGCCTATGTTGATGACCGTTGTGTGCCGCAGAACAAACTAATTCGCCAGTCAAGCGAATGGACGGTTTGGACTTCAGCTCTGCCATTGTTTCTCGAGTTGTTTTTCTTGTAACGTTGTCTTGCTCTTGACATTTCTCTTTGTTGTTATCGCTGCTCTCAGTGTGGGCTGGTGTGTAGTTGTTGTCGTCTTTTCCCCACAATTGAGACCCACCGGGGTATGGAGAGGAGGTGCTGTTGCTCCCGGTTGCGTGTTGGAGCACATTTTGTGTTCTTCTTCGTATGCGCTCTTCATGTCGCTCTCTTAACTCTCTTTTTAGTTGAATGTTTGCTTGTGCAGCAATAGCTTTCTTTAACTGTGCAATAGTCGGTTGATCTTGTGGCAACTGTAATGATATTAAATTTCAATAAAGCTATGATTAAAAATATAGCACTGGAAAAGGTTGGGATATATTAGCGGATTTTATAATCGTTTTGGATTGTAAAACGTTGACGTTTTATGGGGGAGGTACGAGAAGGAGTGGTCCGATATCTACCATTTTTATAACAGATCTTGTGTTAATAGAAATATTGAGGTGTTCGAGGCCTGAAGGGAATCGTATAATAATTTCGCGATGTATGAGCTTCATGGATATTTAAAATTTTGACCATTTGTGGGGGAGATACCAGAAGGAGTGGATTGACATATTCCATATTTACACCAGACCTTGAATTAATAAAAATATTGTGATGTGTATAATTTGGAGACAATCGGAGTTATACTACCCATTTTTTAAGAGTTATAATTGTTCAAAATTGTGACCTTTTGTGGGAGAGGTTCTTGATGGAGTGGACCGATATTGTCCATTTTCTCACATAACCTAGCACTAATACAAACAGTAGGATTTGCAAAGTTGGAGCAAAATCGGATTATCCTTTCTCTTTCCGTGCAGTAAAACGTTTTTTTATTGTTTTTTGAAAACTTCGACCTTTTGTGGGGGTTGTACAAAAAGGAGTGGACCGATATTGCCTATCTACGAACCCGATCTGAGTTTGATAATAATATTACGATGTACCAAGTTTGGACCAAATCGAATATTCCTTTGGAGAGTTGCCGTGCGCATCAGCCACCCATACAGACAAACAGATGGACGGATCTAGATCGACTTCAAATGTCCTGAAACGGATTTGGACCAAAGAGACCTAGGGTCTAAAACAGTTATTTCGAAAGGGTACGTTTTGGCCGTATCAAATGATATTAACCCTCTCTAGCCATAGGGCTGAGGGTATAAAATGTATTGAAAGCATGAACTAAGCACTGATTATTGGATTCATCCATGTGTAGAAGACTTTTCGAAGTAATATAGTTTCAAAACAATTCTAATTTTTTTAAAAAAAAAAAACTTATTTTGGTAAAATTAAAATGTTTAAACTTTACCACCACCTCATAAAATACGTTCCAAAATTTACCCTTGATAGTTAAAGGTTAAATAATTTATAATTCATTCTGGTTTTAAGTAAAAAAATGATTTGGCAAAAAATAAATAAAAATATTCCCAACAAATATTTGAGGCAAAAAATAATATTCCATAATTAACAAAACTGCAATAAATGACTTCAAAGAAACGGAACAGGTTATTCGTTAAAATAAAAACAAGTAATAAATTTTGATGTCACTAATTTGATCCTAATAAATGAATGTATACAAAGGTATCTTATAGAATATAAGTGATATAAATTGCATGTAAAGATATGTGATCGTTTTTCTAATGTCGAAGAAAGTGCGTCCCAGAAAAAAATCAGGAATTCGATTTATTTGTTTTTCAATATTTTAGTTAATTTAATATTTTTATTAATCACATCAGACATCAGACACAATTTTAGAATACAGATCCCACCTTCTGTAAGAATTTGATCTTAAGATGGAAAGAGACCTTTCAGCTCCGGTTTTTTTGTGATCACGTCATCATTTACACGGTTAGATAAAAAAACGGCAATAAAGTCAAACGCCATAATTTTTAATTTTTTTTTTAATTTTATTGAATGAAGGCAATAAATATCGGAAATAGCATCAAATTTTAGAATAAGTTTATATTTGGTTGAATTGGTCACCTTTGGCACGAATTTTATCTTTCAAACGGCCAATGAAGCCGTCATACGCTGCCCGAATGTTGCTATGCGGTATTTTGGCCTATTCCCGGCGAAGTGCTTGCTTGAGGTGATCGACATTTTGGTTTTTTTAGTGCCAACCTTGCTTTCCAAAATCCTCCAGACACAATAGTCCAACAGATTGGCATCCGGAGATTTTGGTGGCCATTGTGCGCTGGAAATGAAGCGAGGAACCTCATGGTCGATTTATACGAGCGGAGAGCGACCATCGGCTGCCACACCATCAGCATGGCCGGCGCTTTAGTTCTGGTGGCCAACCGAAGGTGCACATTTTCAGCTGACCTCTTTGGCAAGTAAACACGATCATTTTGTTTGTTTACAAACTGCTAGACAACGAATGTTTTCTCCTCGGAGAAAACCAAATTCGGCAGTTCACCACTTTCGGCTAAGAGAAGCAACTCTTTAGCTCTTTTGAGTCTTTTTTCTTTCTGTTGCGGTGTAAGTTCTTGCACTTTTTGGAATTTCAATGGCTTTACCCCGAGCTTATTTTTCAATATTTGCCGAATGGAATATTCCGATATGTTCAGCTCACGAGCCATTTTTTGGCCACTGCGACGCGGGTTTCGATCAAGTCGCTTCTTTACTTTTAGAACCATTTCTGCTGATTTTGCTGTTTTCTTTCGTCTACTTCCTTGACGTCGGGCTACGCTACGAGTATCCCGGTAACGAGCGTTGGTAAGAGACATAAAAGATTTATTCATATTTAAATGCTGGAGTGCTCTAACGATAGCCACTTGTGATTTTCCAGCCAAATATAAAGAAATCACTCTATCACGCTTGAATTCCATCACGAATAACTTTTTTTCTGGAAAATTCTCACAAAAATGCTTTTGTACGCTTGCAAACAATAAAATGAGCTGGAAAAAAATGAACAGCTATCGCACGAGTGGCTTAGAAATGACAGCAGTCTGAAGTTGGTTGCAGTTTTTTCATTTCACCCTGTAGAAATCTATCCTGATTTTGACTATTTTAAAATAACAATGTATAAAGATGTTAATATATTCTAGGCGGTTTCTGAACTTCATTTTGAATTACCGAAAATTCTATATGGCATCGCAGCATCGACTTAAAATGTACTGAAATGAATTTCGTCCGTTGATTTCGCCTGAAACCTCAATTTCGATTAAACACATTAGTGACAATATCAAGGTCTAAGTGTGCCAAATGAGACGATAGTGAAAATGTTGTACCAGACCTGTGTAGGTTACAAATTTTACTATGTATATATTTACGATGATTAAAAATGTTGATCATGGGAGCTATTGAAAAGAGTGTATTTCGTGTCCGATATTTGACTTAATAATGTACCATATTAATTTTTTAATGACTTTGTTCTAATATATTTTTCGAGGAGTGGTACCAGAAATTCTATACAACACCTGTAGCCCCATATATAGAAATAAAAAAAATATATTTTTTTAAATATTTTTTTTTTAAATAAAATTCTGTTCTTGCAATAATTATGAATTATAAATTTAAATATTCGGTATATTATTTTGCACAACTTCCTTTTCCTGACAAATATTCAAAAGGAAAAAACTCACTGCAATTCTGTAAAACACTAGATTTCGATTGCATAAAACATTACAAAAGTTCTGAATGTGATCAAGTATAAAGTTTATTTGTTTACACATACGCAATATAAAGTCTGAATAACTTATTATTTAAATGGCTATATAAAGTGAATTGTCGGCAATTATAAGCCGAGTGTGAGTACGACGTTAATAAATCAAAACAAATAATAACAAAATCCATATGGGGGATTTTATGTCAGATTTCTCAGTTTTCAAGTGGAGTTTGAAATACAATCTCGTTATAAAATCATAAAATTTTAGTTTTGTTGCCCCTAATAGCAGAAACATCAGGTACTGTCATTTAACCTTGTTTTTAGAAGAACAGAAGAGGCACAACATCATCAGTCATCGGAATCGGAGCATTGTGTTTTCATTGTAATTTGAATAAATGTGTCAATTTCATTAGAAATGCTTCACATAAATATGTTTGGGTAACGGAAATATTCTCCATACGTCTGTGTGCCCGATTAACCCAGTAACACCAATTCGGCTTTCCCTTACAAAAAAGACATTATTATTATTATTATTATTGACATTATTATTATTGCAAACAATTAGCAAATCAAATTCGAGTAAATATCAAATTTGTTTACAAATATTTGGGTATTTTGCTAAATCAACAGACGATGAGAATACGAAGCAAATGTTTTAATTTCCGAGTACAATTACAGTTATGTCTAGATACGTCACAACATAAGGGTGATGTTAAAAAAATAAGGCCTAGATAAACAAATGCTTAAATATTAGCCGAATTGCAAATATTTTTTGGAAGTTTTTGGTGAAAGCTAGACGGTTATAAATTGGCAAAAAAAAAAATAGATTGTCAATCTCCTATCCTATCTGCTAAAAAATTTCTAATAAAAACTCAGCCAAGCTCGAAAAAACAAAGCACTTAAATTTCCTTTCAAGAAATTTTGTTGATTCACTACGCTATGGTTTTTAACGCTTTTTAAGCGAAGAAAGAATATAACACGTGGTTAACAATTAGTATTTTTTTTCTTTCTCGATTTTGCTAAATATTATAAATAACTGTAAACTCTGGCCATTGCCAACAACTTATTAGCATCTACATTAGCTAACTATTGACTATCTTTTCTAAGCGTTTATGTAACGCTAATGACTATTAATTACACATTTGAACTTGACAATCGCCTCAAAGTTTTCCATTTTCGTTTCGTCTTTAAAACCAAACAAAAACTCACACTTTAGAATGAGTTTGCGTAAATCATCAAATATTTACTAATCACTTTGGAAGTGTTTACACAAAAACAAATCACCTTTCCGTATGTAAAGTTAGGCACATGATTGATCGACGAACGGCGTGTATCAATCAAATGCTAAACATGTGAAAAACACCTTGAAATGCGAAAAAGTCTGGAATTCTGTTTAAACTTACCACAACTTTGAGCGTCGACAATCCATCCCGTTCAATGTATATAATAGTTCCGCCGCCTTGGGCCAGTGCAATCTAATTGAAAGATAAGAAAATGTGTAGGGGTTATTACAAAAAATATAATTACTTTTTTAAATAGTTCAATTGTAGAGTATGGCCTACAAAATGCTAATTAGTTTTCGTCAACGGAATAACCGAGAACGCCCACTATTTGCTAAATTTTAGAATTAACAACACGTTCTAAAAAATACATCGAAAAATGCAATTTGATCACTAGTGTAAATGAATTCTTGCAAATATCGAAATTACTTTTCATAATTTTTATACAATACAAAACTTGCTTGAATTCAGCGGTTTTATCGTTCCTATGCCTAATGAGTTGCCAAGTCTAGATAGATTCCCACACAGGGGAGAATACAGGGTGAGATGAAAAAACTACAACCAACTTCAAACTGCTGTCATTTCCAAGCCACTAGTCCCACAGCTGTTAAAATTATTCCAATGACAGCTCATTATATTGTTTACAAGCGTACAAAAGCATTTTGGTGAGAATTTTCCAGAAAAAAAGTTATTCGTTATGGAATTCAAACGTGATAGTGTGACTTCGTTATATTTGGCTGCAAAACCACAAGTGGCTATCGTTAGACTGGAGTGCTCGAATGTGAATAAATCTTTTGTGTTTCGTACCATCGTTCGTTACCGTGATAATGGTAGCATAGCCCAACGTCAAGGAAGTGGACGGAAGAAAACAGCAACATCAGCAGAAATGGTTCGAAAAGTAAAGGAGCGACTTGTGGCAGAAAAATGGTTCGTTAGCAGAACATATCGCCATATTCCATTCGGCAAATATTGAAAACTGAGCTGGGGGTAAAACCAAAAAGTGCAAGAACTTACACCGCAACAGAAAGAAAATAGACTCAAAAGAGCTAAAAAGTAGCTTCGCTTGGCCGAAAGTGGTGAACTGCCGAATTTGGTTTTCTCCGTCTCTAATGAGAAAACATTCGTTGTCCAGCAGTTTGTAAACAAACAAAATAATCGTGTTTACTTGCCAAAGAGCTCAGCTAAAAATGTGCATCTTCGGTTGGCCACCACAACTCAATCGCCGAATATTATCGCGAAAATATTATGAAGGGTATATTAAAGCTTTGAGCACGCAAACCTTTTGGCCGCAGACCTTGGATATTCCGCAAGGACTCAGCACCATCGCACTCAGCACGCGCCACCCAAGAATGGTTACAAAATCAGGTTCCTCGCTTCATTTCCAGCGCGCAATGGCCACCAAAATCTGCGAAAAAAGGCGTAAATATACAAAAGATGTTCGGACGTATCAGTCGCTTTAGCTGAGTCCTTTATACTCAACCTTTAAGGCCATTGAAGAACTTTGCCTCCGATGTATGGAAATTACTCCGCTTTATATTAAAGTTTAGATTTTGTTATGACAAAAGAGTAGGATGATAAATTTCACATTTAAAATTCAGACATAACAAGTAAAAAAGTATCAGTCGGTTTTGTCGACAGATGTATACCCTCAGCCAATGTTCGATTATTTAAAAATATTTTAACATCTGTTTTGATTTAGAAAATTGATAAATATATCTCCTTGAGGGAGCCATAATCCATCTGGATGAAAAGACAAATCCAAGGAAATGGCTGGATCGACACAAAAAGTTTAAACCCTAAATTTCCATGAAACACTTCTTGCCGTTCTGGAACAGACCAAGTGTTGTGGTTACTCTGTTCCAGAGCTGTAAGATTGTAAAAGTTTTTGCTACTATGACTGATTTTTACCTTACGATAGACAAAATTGCAAATTTAGTACATTCTTGCAGGTAATGAAACAAAGCAGTTTTGTTTTTCTTTACCCTAGAAGATTCTTTAAATTATGTTCATTCATATTTAAAGACTGAAATTGTTCAAGAACATTACCCGGCGAATTTAGTTCAATATCTTAACCTGGTTCTGCCACGGCCATATATTAACAACAAATCATGATAAGTTGCATTACGACCAGTGAAACGCATCCCTCATTAATTTGTACATCCTATTAACGGACGAGTAATGCAAAAATTGCCAAAGATTCTACGTAACACAAGTTAATTGAACTATTGATTAATTGAACTATTTTTATATGTCATATCATAACTTCGTGCTAGATTTTTTTACCTCTCCTTCAAGCTCCACTGGTATGACATCAAATGGAATATCGGACAAAACGTCGTCCTGTTCCAGAATCTCTTTTAACTGCATTTCACTAGCATGTATCAATGCATCCAGTTCCGAAGTTTCAAAATCTTTTGAACGTCTTTCTAATTTGCTTCTATTTTTTCTTCGATTAACGCCAATGCCACCATTACGAATGCGACGTTCTCTTTGGAATTTACGGGCCAAGTTGATGGGTAAATATCGGCGTTTGGGGCGAGCTTTTATTTGATGACGTTTTCCTGAAAATATGTATGAAACCTTTAGAAGACCATATTTTATATTTAAATAAGTGTATTGTACCTGTAGATTTCTTGGTATTCCTAGAAGTATTTCCCGGCATTTTGTTGTATTAGTAGATTGTTGTATTACAATAAATTAGATCAACGACCTCTTTATATCTGAAGTATCAAATTATAAGGCAATAAGAGTTTCTGAGAAAGAATATATAGATATTTCATAATCCAGGATTCATCACACTCGGCTAAACGGACTTCTGTGAGCTTATCAAGATTGGATAACTTAGGAATTCAGCAAGATCTTTAAAATGTCACTCCTTCCGACAGAGATAGAAGCAAGTCAATTGTTCTGTGTCGTTGTTTGCTTGATTGTTGACGACGACCGAAAAGGTATAATTTTTCCTATTTTCCTCGGGAATTCCAGTGATTTTTGTTCCAACGCGCTTCACTCTTGTTGTTTATAAACAAATGCTTCTTCTTTCTTGACATTTGTTAAATGGATTGATATCATGGTATATAAAAACAATAGGGTATGTTCAGTGAGGTATTCTCAATAGAGGAGACTATTCACAGTAACAGCGACACAATTCATAATTGATGACATATTTAAAATATCCGTTAAACTAGTCTGTATTTTAATTAAATTAGTCTTTAAAAAAGAATTTTAAGCTATTATGTGTAGACTAAATATGGAAAACAATCCCTAATAATTAAAACCTTGGGTAATTTTGTCCAGTTTCTTGGGCTTATGTAACCTATTTGGTTACGAACTTACAGTTTGAAACTTGATATGCTGAAGGTAGAAATAGAGACTTTACACACCGATTCCATATTCTGAGAGAAACGGAATAAATGTTATATATACGGATTGATATTGGGGGCGGGCTTGTCAAGGTTTATATAGGTAAAGAGAAAATAATTATGTGACTGTTTTCAAATTTCGCACATCTCAATATTTCTATCAACTGTGTGGTGATGGGATACACAGGGTGAGATAAAAAACTGCAACATAGTCAAGCGCTATAATTTTAACAAAAAATGTCGGAAATAGCATACAATTTTAGGATAAGTTTACATTTGTTGGAATTGGTCACCTTTGGCCCCAATTCTGCGGATGCTGCTGTTTTCCATCCGTCCACTTCTTTGACATCGGGCTAGGCTACCAGTGTCACGGTATCGAGCGATGGTACGAGACACAAAAGATTCACATAAATGCTGGAGTGCTCTAACGATAGCCATTTGTGGTTTTCCAGCCAAATATAAAGAAATCACACTATCACGCTTGAATTCGATCACGAATAACATTTTTTCTGGAAAATTCTCACTAAAATGCTTCTTTACGCTTGTAAGCAATTTAATTAACTTTCACTTGAATAAGTTGAATAGCTCTTGGACAAGTGGATTAGAAATGATAGCAGTCTGAAGTTTGTTGCAGTTTTTCATTTCACACTGTATAGTCCAAGCCTGGCACGTCGCAAAATTTATATCATATTCATACGGAATGAGCAATATTGGCCCATTCCTTCGGAACCTACTCAATAGAGGGTCAACAATTTAAATAATCATAACAGAAGTTAATATGCATTTAAATAATCGAACATTGGCTGAGGGTCAGCAAAACCGACTAAAACATATAAATAAAATCATGAAACTTACCATTTTCCAGCCCATTTAAATAAAATTCAATATTTTTTTGGTTCCGCAGAGAGAGCTAAACGATTTATTATTTCGTAATAATATTTTATATTTTTCCGACATTTCTATAAGATTCTGGTTGATGAATTCTTAGAAGTGTATTACAATAAGAATAATATGTATCATGGGGTTTGTGTGGGTGTTAATAGTTATGCAATATTTTTGTATATTAATTTTAATTATTTTTAATGTATATTTATTTATATTCACTAATTTATAAAAAAGAAAATTAAGTTTTTATTATTATAAATATTGAATGTGTTATTGATGTCCACAAGACAGATGTTGTTGATGTGGAGTCCATCAATGGTTACTAGAACTGCAATTGTTTTATTTAGAGTCGATGTTAGGTGTATTTATTTATGTGTGTGGGTGTTTGTGCCCAAATAAGCTAAAAACTACATTATTATTGTTGAATAGAATCTAAATTTTTAAACTAAGTACAATTTTATTATTATTATATTTATTTTGAATATAAGTTTAATATTTACATTTTAGGATAATGAATTTTTGTGCCATTTTCTATTTGTATCTTGCTAAGATAATAAAAATAATATGAGAAATTTTTATATCTCGATGTAAATATTGCTGGTTGCCCTTTTCGTAGTTTTTCTTTATTGCATGAAGGACCCCAAAATCATTGCCAAATGTTTGTGTGCTTTTTTTATTTCCATTTGGTCTAATGTATTTTGGCATCCTTTGTGGTCGGTCGTGTGGAAATTACATTCCTTTGGTGTTTTATTTTCCACATAAAGTTTACCGCTGTTGATTGGTTAACATCTCTCCATGCAAGCCTTTCCAACCAATTACAGCATTGTATTTCTGGTCCTCCTTCCTTTTTTGCTTGCCAACAACAAAATCCATGGAAACCGTTGAGAGTGAAGAGTATGCTGGTTTCGATGGCAACAACTGTTGTATACTTTCAGGCGTGTGAGTTTCATTTATTCTTTCTCTTCAACAGTAGCATATTTACTCTCTCTCAGCAGCATTGTTTGTGTGTGTGCGTGAAATAGAATAAGAGAGTTGGAGGACTATGAAAGTTTTCACACACACGCAATCACAAATTTGTCGGTAGTATTGTCATTTCCGGTGTTGGTGGTGGTTTGAGCTTTATTTCCTCTATTTACTTCTACCATTGGTTGGTCAGGCCAATGAGTGAGAAGCTTGACATTGTGTATAAGGTTCATATAAGTTAGCATTTATTGCGTGGCTTATATACAACCATATTGCAATGTTTGACGAAATAAAAGAACGACGAATGCAGTTTTTTTGTGTTTCCAAATTTGTTGGCACTGTTGGTTTCTAGTTGACTGTAAAAGAGACAGAAAGACAATAAATTAGTTAACATGTGCATATTTTTAACTAATGTATAAAAGATACGCCTTCCACACTGCTCTGTAATCATTCGAAAATTTGGAAGGAGTTATAGCACAGTACTTTTTTATTGAATAATTTAACAGTTTATTTTTTTTTTAATTTGTTTTAAAAAATTTCAGTGCATAAGTTACATTTTAGACATATAGTTTTGACTGTCATGGCTCGATTGACTAGTGTTTTTTACTACAGCTGACTTTCATTACTATTATAAGACTTATATTATAAGTTCTGAAATCACGACAAAATTATTTCACGCAGATTTTTAAAATTTAGCACAATAGTTTGTACTAAGAAGTGCCCGCTACTTTGTCAGCGAAAAGTCCTCCATAATGACGAACTTAATATGCCCTCCATACTATGTATGGTGGAGGGTATAACAAGGCCTTTACTATGTGTGGTGGTTTGTAACTCGTCGAAATAATAATCGTAAACCTAAGTATATAGATTGTTGATCAGCGTGAAATTCTAAGATGATTTAGCCTTGTACATTCGTCTGCCGTGTGTTGTAATCAAGCTGGAGTTAAAAAAAAAAAAAAAATTGTACAGGTCAGTCTTTTGTATGTAGGCATGTTAAGTTCGAAGTTGTGCTATATCCGTCCACGATATCGTATAGCCCCCATATAACAGTACCCACCGATATACGGTATTTCCATGATTTTAGCGGCATTTTCTACCAGAATTGTTTTAAATCTCGTATTTAAAGTTCGTAATGGGTACTACAGCCTATGACAAAAAAATTATATGCAGAACCGCGTCTTCGACTAGCCCCCATTGACAATTTTTTTAATCAGAACTTCATACATCGTACTAAATTTTCTATCTTTCAATCTTCTATATATTATTTAAGTTGTTCCTGTTTCGAAAACAATAATATGAAAATGTTCAACTATTACACCAAAAATTCTTTACAATCTTCCATTTTGAAGTATACCTGAGAGGATATTGGAAAAACAGTTGCACAATGGACCACATCCACATTTTCTGTCCAAAAATATTTCAGTATCTTCATATGTACATAGCGATAGCATAGCGATCTCAATATGAAATTTTAGAATTTCAGCTCTATCCCTCCACCCAATACCAAATTTAGTAACAATAATTATAGTATGTATTTTCAATATTCCCACCAGATACCAACTGAGACTTAAATATCAAAATGTCGGTATTCCAGCTTTATCCCTTTAGATAATATACAATTTTGTACCATTTAGCATGCATTTCCAAACCTACCTCCAAATCTCAATCTCAGATACCAATAGTTATATGAATCTCAAATTTCAAGATTTTACCTGCATCCCTTCAACCAAGACTAAATTTAGTACTATTTGTACTTTTCGTTCAGAATGTACTAATAATAATATGTACTAATATTTCCGAGACCATCTCAATATTTCAAATCCCGATTTCAACAGAAACGTCAATTTCAAGGATATGAGGATTCCAACCTTACCCCTTCATTCAATACCAAATTTAGTACTATGTAGTACTTATCGTACAAATAAAGGACGCATTTGCAAACCACCGCCAAATTTTAACCTCAGATACCAACAGTTATCTAAATATCAAATTTCAGAATTTTAGCTCTACCCCTTCACCCACTATTAAATATAGTATACCATTCAGTACTTTTCGTACAATTATGGTACACATTTCCGAAACCACCTCCACATGTCCAGGCTTCATGTGTATTTTTAAATATAGTACTTTTCGTGCATTGGTGGTACAAATTTTCAAAACCCAACGTTAATTCCCAATCCTTTACGCTTACTGAGGCCTTAAAGCAAAATTTCTGATTTCAAGCAATATCAGTACCATTTCTATGCTATTTGAACTAAAATTTCGAACCCAACTATTTATCACTTGAAACTACCAGCTCCTTCCGTTCACCCAAAACCAAATTGTACCATGTTTAGTATCCTAATATTTGCGTGAGTGCTAGGTCAGGTGTGAAAATGGACAATATCGGTTCACTCCATCAAGTACCTCCCCCACAAATGGTCAAAATTTTGAAAAATTACAACTCTCATAAAATGTGATATAAGAGTCCGATTGTCTTCAAATTTCCCACATTCCAATATTTATATTAACCCAAGGTCTGGTGTGAGGATGGACAATATCGGTTCACTCCTTCTGGTACCTCCCCCACAAAAGTCGAAATTTTCAAAAAATATATTTTTTGCACAGAAAGAGAAAGGATAATCCGATTTTATTGCAACTTTGCAAATCCTTATATTTGCATCAGTGCTAGGCCAAGTGGGAAAATGAACAATATCGGTCCACTGCGTCAAGTACCTCTTCCACAAATGGTCAACATTTTGAATAATAACAATTTCATAAAATGTGATGTAAGGGTCTTTTGTCTTCAAATTTCACACATCCCTATAT